TTCATACCTTTCATCTGCCTGTTTCTTCACCAAAGCCAAAACCAGCACCAAGTCAACCCTTTCATTAACGCCCTTGACTCACCAGCCTGAAAGAAAGTTCAGCAGAAATCCAGCCAGTTTGGTTTTTTTTGCTCTTACAGTTTTCAGATTACTTACTGAGCTGAAGCAGCTTATGGAGGGATGCAGTGGAAGTCACAGAAAGTAGATAGTGGAAGAAGGTAGTCAAAACTGGTATGAAGAGACTTCTCCTCCTCTCCCAATAGCAAGATGTATTAGTGACCTCACCTTGTCATGTAAACATTCTCAAAAGGAAACAAAACTCCATCCAGCCTGGCACTGGACCTTCCTGAGCAGCAGCACCAGGATACTAGGCAGTAGGAAAGCAACTGGTAGAAGCATGCAAGAAGACACAAGGGGCCAGCTGCCTTCCTACAGCAGTGAGTGACCATCTGTAATTTTGCCACCACTCCTTGTTAATGAAGAGATCTGATTACGTCCAAGTATTTAATGTCAAGCACATATTAGATCTCTGATTAGTGCCTTATTTCCATGATCACAAGCTTTCTTTTCTCAAGATATTGTTGAACATCCCTGTAACATTACTGAGACTTCCATCTAAACTGCATAAAAGCTCCGGTAGAAAATGAAAACTGAGGACTTAGGAAGCTTCAGAATTCACACTACCAATGCCACCTCAATCCAGTTCTTTACAGAAAGATGGGGAGGGAAGCTGCAGAGTCTGTTTTGTTGACTTGCAACCACTGCTCTGTTGAGCTCAAAGGACTGGTGCTGAAATGCCTCTCTGCAGGACTTGTACTACATGACTGCAACAGCTGAGAACTGTGCAAGCATTTGAAGCACTGCATGACCATGCCCTTCAGACATTGATTCCAGTTTACCAGGGAGGCTTTTATCCTGAAAACATGTCCAAACAGCTCTGATCAATAATGTGAACAGTTTCCAAGCTAGTTACCTTGTACAAGAGCAGCACAGCTGCATTAGTATGGTGCTCCACCAACACCAAGAGCTTGCTGTTCAGCAGGATTAATTAGTCTGGGCAGAGCACTGCACTAATGTGATTATATAGCTTATAGTACCTGAGCTAGCTCATTCATCGTTTCTATTCCTTTGCTCTGAAATAAAAAGAGCTTAGGTTTTGCTGTTTTCTTAGCACCTAAATAATCCCAGCACCTTATTTTCTTGGAAGAGGAATGAGACTTGGAGAAGACTCAAAATCAGATTTTCCTCATTAAAATAATGCATCTCCTGCCTACATAGCTTCTCTCCACTATTATCATCCTCTTCTAATCACTTCTTTTGCTTGTATCAACTACCTGTGCACCTGCAAGTCTTCCCTTGACATCAGGAATAACAATGTCCAGCCATAACCAACGGTGACAAGAGCTGGAAGACATTGCATTTGAGTGGAATGGAATCATCACTACCTTCCACTCCTCCTTTTTTTCGTGGGATGCAACAGATAGCACAGGAGGTACTTGCTCAAAAGAGGGACCACCTTTCAAAGCAATGAGGGGCAGAGCAAGAATACAAACCACAACCTCCTCATCCACAGTCTGGGGCTCCCGTCAGGACGTGGAAACAGAGACCAGAGAAGCATACCAGGGACCCAGACCTTGACCAAGTCATGGGAGCACCAGAGGAACTGACTGAAGAACCTAAGTTCTGGCAAATCAAGTGTGCTGGTATGCTCAAAGTGCTTCTTTGCTCGAGCCTTCCTGAGGCATCCTGCATGAGGACAATGCTCAGGACAGGCAACATTAGGCCATCCAGTAAAAAAATATCAGCAGCCACAAGCAACTGACAGCAGCTGAACAACAGGAAGTACTGGAGAAAGCTCCACTGATGGCAGTACTGCTCTTTCTTCCAAGTTTGCCTGTAGCATATCAACGGAAGAGAAGCAGAGGACTATCACAGCACCCAGTAGTATCTCTGGTCCCTTCCCTGTCCAGACACACATCCAGGACCCAGAGGTATAACACAGCAGGGCAGTTCCCACACACAGACCTTGAGAGCAACCACATCGTTCTGACAGAGTGAAAGGCAGTGATAGAAACAGGATCTCTACTTCTTCACATTTCCACAAGTATTTTCCCTGCTCAATAAGCATCTAGCATTTAATTTTCTTTTTAGTAATATTATATTAGTTTAAATACTAAGAGAGTTTCAAAAACCTATTTCCCTCTTGGTTTAAGTTTCACCCTGTTGTGGTTTTTTTTAGTTTTTTTGGTTTGTTTGTTGTTTTTGGTTTTTTTCTTGTGTGTGTTTTTTGTTTGGTTGGGTTTTTTTTGTAATATAAAAGAGCAAGCTGTAGAAAAAGTGGTTAAAATTTCTAGAACAAAATTTGGTAAGAAATGCTGTAAAGTCATGGCACTTCGTTGCTTTGTGATTGCAAATGATATTGTACTTTCTGGACTTCTAAACATGCATGTCAACTTAAAATTTAAAACAGTAAATGGACAACACCTCTAAGGCATCTCCCCTCTCAGCTTTATGTCAGCATGTTGATGGGACAGAGCCCTTCCAAAACAGAAATGCAGGGAAGAACAAGCTTATTTTTCAGCAATCTTTTCCTTTAAAGTAACTTGTTTCCTTCTGTAAAAAATACCCCCAAGAGTAGTTTCAAATTTTGAGTTCTAGATATGACAAAGTGGACAATGCAGACGCAAATTCCAGGCTCAAAAGAATATGAAAGTAGAAAGATTCTTTATGTTTGCATATCCAGCATGCAACCACCGGGCACAAAGAAAAGAACTTTAAGGGATAATTCTGGTTTCTGTGCATTTAGAGTGCCAAAGTTCATTCTTTAAAAAGATACAATTTAAAACTGTTTAAAGTTTTAAAACTAAGCTAAAAAGGCTGCAGATTAGAATCCATCTCGATACTAAGGTAACAATATTAAAAAAAAAGCTTGCAAAAAGACAAAGAGAAAAGTAACAAAAAAGACCAACACATGAAACAATGTGAAGCAGGTTACCACAGAACAGAAACACTGTTTTACTGTCAATAGAAAAAAAAATCATTGAAAAAAACCCAAAAATCAAATCAGGTAAAATACTTCAAAAATGTTAAAGCAAGTAAGGAACCAAGATGTTAAGGTTACATAGTGATTTAAGAGGAAAAGAAACTCCCAGAAACACCACTTAGTATTGAGGACTTAAACTGAGGTACGTAGGAAAACAGAGATCTGGAAACTAAGTGCAGTCTCTGTGTCATCTCCTATGCTTGAACAGCCAAAACTCTGGTTTGGGGAGGCTACTGTGAAACTGATGCTGTGTGGAAGTGGAGGTGAAAGAGGATGGAAAGGAAAGCAAAGAAGAAATTGAAGATATGCTGGCTGTTCATTAGTATGTACACATACACATACATACCCTGAATAAAGGTAATTCAGACTAGCTGGCACACAGTGGGATCAGCAAGACAGCAGTATATTTAAGAGTTATCTCCCTCCTCCTGTTTATTTACTTGTTGCAGTCTTCTGTACCACAGAATCATGTACATCGGGTCTGGAGCCTCATTACTTCTAAATACCTTTACATGGCAATTTCACACAGCTGGAAAAAGAGTTGGCTGGTATTTGTAACTTTCCATATGCCTCAGGGAGGCTGCATGATTAAACCAGAAGACAACACAGTCTCTGCACACTTCAAGATGTGGTCTGTACCGTGTAGTCGTAAGAGTTTCTCCCTTCAAAATACCTTTGCATTAGAACATACTGCTTAAGACTTAAAACTATGCTACACAATTTGCTGAAATAGGTAAAGTGACACAAGGACTCTAGAGCACAGAACATAACTTGATAATTGTGAGAGCTTATTATGTGATGCTCCATGAGATATCACAGCTCACTTTTCAGAGCACTCTGTACACACACACAATAAAAATAAATAAATTTAAATAAGGCTAACCAGGTTCCCCAAACAGTGAAATACTCTGTAGTAAGTCTCACTTCTATCTCATTTCCATCACCACAGAACATGAAAAATATACTACTAATTAATTCATAAACCCTAATCTCTGCAGGCAGCTGAAATTGTCAGTTCGATAAATAAACCAACCAGCACTGATGGGAAGTTGAACCGTATTATCAAGGAAATTCTTCTTCTGCCAGAGGACCCTGTCAAGCTCTGCCCATGAAAGCATTACCTAGACACAGTTTGGAGAATTTCTGTAGGGAAGGATTTAAAGCTGTACCTGAACCAACCGAGCAGCAGGACCGAAAAAAGGTGGTTGAAGGAATTTGTCAAAGCTCGCACAGCTCTGATGCTTTACCACTAAGCCTAAATTGACTATATTTCGCCAAATGCCCTCAACTCTTTAGACAAGACAGCCGGTATATCCCTGAATAGTGAACCGCACGAACACGACACAGACCGAGACACCTCTGGAGCGCTGCACCGCACCTGCATCCCGCACTCGCCCGGCGCCGGACAGCGCTGGGCAGCTCCTCTGCCAAGAGTGCGGCACGGGCAGGGTTCCGTGCCCCGCTGGCTCCCGCAGCCCGCGGAGGCATCCGACGCTCACCGGCCGAGCCCGGGACGTCCCACGGGGAGCGCAGGCGGACCCGCGCCGCTCTTTCTCCCCGGCGCCGCTGTCTCCAGCTCCGGTACCCCGCGAAGCGACCCATAGCCTGCGAACTCTCGCCAGGCTTTGCTTTCTCCCTGGCTTTCGGTGCAACAGCTGGGAGAACCTGGCAATGTCGGGAGGGATGGAGGCGCAGCCGGCACGGAGCCGGCAGCGCGGGCCAGCAAGCGGGAACGCACCGCGGGATGCGAGGATGCAGTCGCGGGCGACGCCGCCGACCTGCGCTGCGGCTACCGAGCGACAGCCGGCCAGAAAGACCCCCTTCCCGCAGGGAGGAGGCGCCAGGAAGGGTCAGGGGTCCCCCAACACCGCCGCCAGACCCGGCAGCGACCTGTTGCCCCGCGCGGGAGTGTGGAGGCGCATCACCCGGAGCGGGACCGACAGCCGCCACCACCCACCTCTTTGATTTTCTCCCTCCTCTGCCGGACGTCGGGGTCGGCGGGCTCCTGCCCCACGGCGCCGACGGGCTGGCGGAAGAGGCGCTGGGGCAACCCGGGGGCGCCCGCCTCCTTCCTGCCGCGGGCGTCCTGCAGAAGTTTCTCCTTGTCCTGGCGGATGTCTCTGCGGATCTCCTCGGGCAGCTTCTGCAGCGTCTCCTTGGCCTCCCGCAGAGCCCGCTCGTGGTCCGCGCGGATCCGCTCCAGGCTGCCCGCCCCGCCCGCGGCCGCCGCCGCCGCCGGACCGCCTCCGGGCTGCGGAGGGGCGCGGGGCTGCCCGCCGGGCGGCGGCGGCGGCGGCTGCAGGGCGGCCGAGTGGAAGAAGACGCCGCTGAGAAGCTTGGAGGAGTCGGGTAGGAAAAAGATGGCCCCGAAGCAGAGGGTGATGAAGGCGCTGAACACCAGCAGCAGCACGAACTTCTCCGTCAGCCGGAACGCGCCGGGGCCCGCTGCCTTCCTGCCCCCGCCGCCCGCGCCGCTGCCCGCGGGGCCGCCCAGCGTCCCCGGCCCCGCCGCGCTACCGAAGAGCGGCAGCAAGCTGGCGGCGGGCATGACCCCCGCGCCGCCTCAGCCTCAGCGCCGCGCTGCGCGCCCCGCCGCCGCCGTGCAGGGACCGCACCGCACCGGACGGCTCGGCTCCGCCGCCCCCGGCCCGCCTCGGCTGCACAAAGTTTCCCCGGGCGGACGCGGCAACTTTTCCCTTCCCCGCGGCCGCGCTCCCTCTGCTCCCCCGCCGGCAGCGCTCGGCAGCGTCTGCGGGGCGGGCGCTGTCAGCTCCAGCCCATGCTGCCGCCGGGCCGCCGCCGCGGGTGCCGCTCCCCGCTCCGCCCGCGCGGAACTGCCGGGCGGCCGGGGGCGGGGCGGGGCGGGGCGGGGCGGGGCCGGGCCGCCGCCGGCCCAATGGCGGGGGGGGCGGGGCGCGGGCGCTGCCGGACCGCGGGTCCCGGGGCTCGGCTGCGGGATGCGCTTCCCCGGGGCTGCCGGACCTCCGCGGCCGGAGGGGCGCGGCGGCGGCGGCGGGGCTCGCCCGCTTCGGCCCCGTGGGCGGCGGCGGCGGCGGCGGCCCGGGGCGGGCGGGCGGATGGATGGATGCGCGGCACGGGCAGATGCCGGCAGCGCGCCCTCGCGCACCCACGTGCGCTCCGGTGTACGCACACGCGCGCGCGTGTACTCCCGCGCGGGCACTCCCGCGCGGGAGCGCGGCGGGGGCCTGCGCGCTCACGGGCGCGCGTGCACAGGCGGGCACACGGTCACTGGGGGCGGTGCGAGGGGAGCAAGGGCACGGCGGGGCCGGGAACAACTCCCGACCCACCGGTCATTATAATCCATTCTTTCTCTGTAAGGAAAACAGGGCTTAATTTTTTTTTTTTTTTTTTTTTTTCCTGTAGGTAAAAGGTGCACCTTTTCCAAGGAAGTAAGGCATATATCTGTGGTAATGTGAGAATCCGACTTTTCACTGACGCTAGTACAAATGAAAAGACCATCGTGTGTTGGCACAAGGAAATACCGTCTTTGATAGTGGATCAAATTGCTGCATCAAGCTCCCTAAGCATTCAGTGAGAGGGAAAGTTTCCAAAAAAAATAAGATACCGATTTATTCTTTTTGCCCTTGTTACAGAGCACTGCAATAAACAGCTGGCATGTGAGAAGAATAAAATGTTATGTCACTTTAATAGAAAAAGGGAACCCAGCCAACACCTAGGGGTTTATCTCCAACTTTTTTTGGAACCTACTCAGAGTCTACCTAGAGTTTCACAGCAGTTCAGCACTGTAATCTTCAACATTTCCCCCCAAATGTTAACGACACAGTCAGAAAGAAAACAGTGAGATATTTGTTCCCAGAAGTTAGGATGCTGAGGTTGGTTTGTTTGCGCATTTGCATGGTTTTATTTTGCAAGGGGAAAAAAAAAAAAACGACGGTAGAGGGAAGTCTGTGCTTTAAGCAAGGGCTGGGAGAAGGCATTGTGTAAGCCTTACAGACATGATTTTGAAAATGGGCTTGGCATGGATCTAATTCTGCTCCCAGTGGAATTAAGGGGAGTTTTACCATTGACTTAATAGGAATAAAGCAAGGCTGCTGCCCAGTGCTTTTCCAAATCCCTTTCTTTAGAAGTTAGAATATGTAACAGATTAATTAAAAACAGGTTCAGGGAAGACAGTTATATAGAAATCTTGGAGTGAGTCCTACAAAGCTCCCCTAAGTATATAAGCAAATGCTTCTGTAAAATTTCAGGATTATGCATGAAACTGAGGGATCAGGGGCCCAACTTCATACTCAGCAAGATCAGTAATTTAATTTAGTTTTTATTCTGGTTTTCTTTTAAATCTTATTTTTTTTTTCCCGAGTTGCATTTTCCCACATTTAGATGTGAAACTATTGCTCAAACTAAACAATGAGCACTCTGACTTTGACACACATTTCCCAGAAATGTTTAACGTAACCCAATAGCTGTGCCAAGACAAAATTGTTTAGGGTTGAAGAAACCAAAGTGCTTGGAAAAGGAGATAAAAATCCATGGTGATATTTTCTTTTTTTTAAGCATCATTTAAGGTAGCAAATATGGGGTTTAGCTGTTGAAAGACAGTTGACTAATGAAAAAGCTTCCTAAATGGTGAAATACCACTCTCAGCTTCAGCGAGCATATTCTGCTTCAATCACTGTGTATGTGGGTGTGCAATATTTTCAACAGATTGCCCTCAAAACTCATCACTACTTATATGATAATAATTGGAGGCAGAAGTTATTGCTGGAAGAAATGCCTTCCTTCAGTATTCTGAAGTAATTCCTTAGGTTGCCATATTTCTATAGCACTTCATGAATGGATGCAGGAGTAGAAAATATCATCACCTGGGGTTCTGCTCCTGTGTCTCCTAAAATGAGGCTCTCAGAACTCATCAGCCTTTTGCCTTCTTTTGGTGTTCATCCTAAGCACTAGGGGCCAAGCGTGGACTCATGCCAGGGGTTTCATTGCCACACCCATCACTGTCTTTGGGACATCCTGAGCATGAGGGAAGCAACAACGAGGATTTTCTATGTGAAGATGGAAATTGTTAAATTCTCAAGCTTTTGTGATGAGATGATCGTTCCTCCTCTGAGCAGGACATAAAATTTTGTATGCAGAGTGTTCCTGTTGTTAGCACTTAATGTTACAGTTACCAGTAAGGTCATGTGGGAACTATTCAGTGGGACTATTGAAGCATGTAGAGTTACTGGCATACAGAGCTGTTCACTATGTGAGGGCAATGGAGACTGAAAGACAAAGAAGCTGCTTCAACCCAACAGTGATATACAAGTTCCTTGGGCTTTTTGTCACTAATTTATGTCAGGCACAAGGTGTTCCAAGGACCATGAAAATACAAGGAGTAGCTCAGAGTAAAATACCTTTGATTCCAAGTACTAAAATGAAGGGCTGTACAGTGCTAATTTTCAACTGGCTGTGTCCAACAGGCAGTTCAGCTATAAAGTTAAATCATGTTCATAGGCACTTAAATAGTGTCCAAAAATCCAAATAAAATACAAACGAGTGAAGCTTGGTGTTTGCATTAATCTGGAGACAGCAGTGGAAAGCCCACCTGCCTGCACTAGGACTTGTACTGGAAGAGCCTCTTTGAATACAACTCTATCAGCATATCCACCTAGTGGGTATTGAACTGCCTGCTACTTTGGGTTGGTTTTTTTTTTTTTTTTTTTTTTTTGCTAATCTAGCTTCATTACTTCCTGGATCACATCAGCTAAAATGGGGAAAAAAAAGTCTCTGGGCAGTTTTTTTGCCATGCTGGGTAAGGTTAAGTCCTAACCAGTTTGCTTATACCAACAAAACTGGGCTGCATCCCTCCCATGGAAAGAAATACTGCTCCTGTGGATTTAGCTGCAGAATCAGGAATAATTTTCCAGCAATCATGCATAGGTCAAGCATTTATAGAAAGGTAGAACTGATACATGAAAAGTGGTGAGAGGGAGATTTGCATAATAAGAAACACGACTCCTTTCTGTAATAAATGTTCTGAATGGGGAAATTTGTTGCCTATTGGCTGAAAGTCCTGGGAAAAAACAACCCTTATCATAGTTGGTTTTTTTGTTTTGTGGGTTTTTTTGTTTGTTTGTTGGTTGGGTTTTGATGGGTTTTTTTTGATGTTGTTGTTGGTTTTTTGGGGGGTTGGGGTCTTGTTTTTTTTGTTTTTTGGGGGGTTTGTTTTTTCGTTTTTGTTTTTGTTGTTGTTGTTGTTTTAATCGACTTATATCTAATTTGTCATGGTTCCAGCCTTAGATCTTTTCTAGTGAGAAGTAATTATCCTGCTTGGTCTGAAAGATACACGCAACAGATAAGACGAGAATTAACAGTTGTCCCACTTTTAGGCCCATCCAGCTGAGGCAGAGATATTGACTGATACATGTTTTTGGATAGTGAGTTTGTAACAATGCCACTCCCTCTCAAGGAGTTCCCAGTGTTACCTTCTAGCTAAGATTACTGTAAAAAAAAATGACAGCTTCTTTTTGAAATGCTATACTTTTACACAGCTTTCAGAGATACTTTTAACATGCTTGCCTTTGGGAATGTGACTCACAAACCCAATTTAGACATCCAGCTCTTCATAGATTAAGCAACATGGCACAGACTTAGGGTTCCCAGGGCACACAAGCTGGATTCATAATGCCGAGTGTGCTGTTTGGAAGGAGGCTTCGACCATTTGAGGACCAGATGTGTATGAAATTGCTCTCTATCTCTCTGATTTTGGCAGTTGGGTGCAGTTCTGAATTCAGTCTGTGAGGAAAGTGTGATTCATAGCCACAAAAACTTTGTTCCATCTCCAGTGTTTTGAGAATGCAGGACTGCCTGATGCTTTTCTTTCAGAGCTCAGAAGAGAGAAGTGTTGACCACTTATTTAGGAGTCTTGTGGGTAGAGCACTTGCTCAAGAGTTGGAGATCTGTGCTTGACATGTTCTGTAGTCTTGGGGGATTCAAATTATCTTCTTTTGCAGTGGAACTTGTACATCCCCCACCACCATTCCTTTTGAAGTAGTGCTGTGACTCAGAGATGAGGCAGGACTTTGAAGACAAAGAGGAGAAAAGTTTTCCACTTAGCATTGCTTAACAACCCTGAAATAAGAATGCTCCACTCCCAGAGAAGCCTACAGCCTAAGAGTTAGGGCACTAGTCTGAGAGATGGAAGACACCAGATTATCTCCTTCCCAGTGATATGGGTGTTGAAAATTGGTCTCCTATTTGAGGATGAAAAAAAGAAGAAAGAAAAAATTTTTCACATCCTTTTACAAACATTTCCTCTAGCCTAACACATGAGATGATTGTGGCTAACAACTAAACTTTATGAATACCTTAGAAATAAATGTATTATCAGGAACATGAAGCTGTAGGCTCACAAACCTTCTTTTCCAGCATGGCTGTCAATACTACAAGAGGTCTCTTTTCTACCAGTATCATTGGAAATATCTTCCATCCCTACCTGAGGGAGAGGATCATTCATTTTTCCAAATGAAATCTCTGTAGTGCAAGCAGCTTTCAGTGTTTATTTGGAGGCTTTGCTAGAAGTAC